CCAGGCCACCATCGCCGTAGTCAATGACCACTAGGCCCATCCATCCACAAAACACCGTGGATAAACTTTTTCCGTCAATAAAGAGTTTAGATTACTGTTCAATAAGCAGTAAATACAAAGGATTGCATGCAGTAGCATATAATTATTCGTTGGGAAATCTAGAGAAACAAAAGTTCGCATGCTTCCTGAAAGCCATATTTTTCTCTTCAAGAAACTGAAACAGTCAATTAGGTCACCACATTCAACGCAAGTTACCATGCGTTTCTATAACATTCAGATTAGGAAAAATGGGATAGGACTGGAAAGGAACCAACAGTGACTTCCTAAAATTGTCTACAGAAGGAAGCAGTCTACATTGGTGATTCTTGGAGAGGAAAGATAAGGTAGTCAAATTATACGCCGGATCACAGTTATGGTGAAAAAATAACCACAGACTGATTAGAAGGGACAATGTGCAAGTATAATTCCGATGGATAACGAACAATACATTTTCGGTTTTGACCTCATTCTATCTTAGCGTTTTATTTCTCAGTCAACCCAATATGGTAATCAGCTGATCCATCAAATTTTTTTCACAACCCTTCTTGTTTGGTTACGAGAGACCGACCTATTTCGCTTATTCCCCTCGGGTCAATTCATTGCGCAGGCTCTGATAGACTGTTTCCACTTCCTAAAATGGACCAAGCCATTGTATAGCGAATACAATGATTTAGACGATGATGCAGGTTGTTGGACACTTGATCACATCAGCTCGTTCACCGCTGTAAACTTCGTTGTATGTGGGCGGGTTAAGAAATATTCCGGTCTGAGGAAAGGAAAAGAAACCAGTACGGTAGAGACGGTACGCAGTTCCATAACACAGATAAACGCATTAGAAAGCCCGACCAGATGTCATGTCTTTTGGTGTCCCCGCCTCAGTCCGTCACTAAATCTGTAGGAGAACAGAGATAATAGTACAGCCTAGTCTTTTGGTGCAATCTTTCATAGCTTTTCATCATACCATTTGTTGGTATCTGAATGATTTTCGCTGGCGTTTATAGCAGTGACTGGGAACATGAAGCAGTACGATACATAATCAAGAGAACTGCATAGGGAATATTCTATGCGTTGAATACTATTCATCCCAATTCCTTGTGAGGACGAAGTTTCCGATTATGCTTTAAAAAAATCGTATCACATTTTTTCAATCACCTGTACATAAATATGCATACACAGATCGATGGGCAAAATCTAGAGCCCACAAGTACCTTCTGTACACAAACCGGAGGTCTCACAAAGGAAAAGTACTATGGTAAAGTAAGCACGACTTTCGGACTTCAGTGACATGTTTGGTTACTGACCAAGTTGCGTTAGTGCAACATTTTTTAGAAACCTTGGATATGCGTGTGGTATTGCCTAAAGCTACAGATACAAATATCGACAGACGAACAACAGACATTGAGTGCTACGCAGATAACGCATTCCGAGTACATACAGTAATGGGATATTATCAATTCAGTGACTAGATTTCTCAGCGGTAGAATGATACTATATCCTTGGATTATGGAGTTTAGTATTTTCACTGTATTTGATTCTGTGTAATAAAAAAATAACAAGCACCTTTGCGATAAACACGCACTCGTTTAGTGAGAGGGATGTGTCACGACAGAGTCAGAGAGAGAAATGATTAGCAAGTGCAATAATACTCCTTTAATCATGCATCGGACGACTCCGTCACCCATACCCTTGACCGAGTGTGATGCAAATCCCGAGGTAAGTAAAACTTTATCACCAACAACTACTATTACCTAGTAAAAGTACAGAGGTGGAATTGCTGTTGTACTTTGGTGTAAAGGACTAGGTACATTTAGCCGTTTAAATTACGTAGCGGCTTGGCGCTTCTTATATTGACACAGCCCGATTACTGAGCAAGGTAATATCATTTTCTTTTTTTCATTTTAGTTCCTTTTATTCAATATACAAAGATACAATTTTCAGGAAGGGGGAAGCGGACAATCAAAGAGCTGCCATACAATACACAAATGGTGAAAGTCAGGCGGTGGTGGTGGGATTTGAACACTCGTCCTCCAGGGTGATTATTGGTGACTTTACCACCAGGCCACCACCACCCGTATACTCCAGTATACTCCAAGCCTCCGATCCTTAGTTCCAAAAGAAACCGGTTTCTAGGAGCAACCTTTGCATGCAATGAGTACTCGGAAAGCTTAGTAAGCTGAATGATTATATGCAATGGAAACATTTTAAGGACCGAGGTAAAGAAGTTAGTATACATTCCTTCACCGTTCAAGAGGCACCTGTCAGCTAATCCCATTAAAAAAATATTATCGAACGTCAGCTATAAGTCGTTCCATGCAGTTAAGCACCACGTGCTCTTCACGTCCCAGAAAGCTGCGTTTGCAACCGAGGAACCTGACTCTGCTGTCGTATTCGACGTATACTCATTTACGTGTACATGTAGAAGGTCATAGGCCGCGCGGTCAGGTGATTGTCCAACCGAACTTGTGAACACCACCTTGTGCGACAAAACACCAAAACGAGTGAGTCACCCAACAGTGCAGTAGTTCCACAGCTATCTGAAACAAGCCACATTGGACTTACAAGAGGAAGTTCACACCCTGTAAAAAGTTTATGATTAACTATTAAAGCAGGTTAGCTGTCGGATTCCAACCAAGGCACTAGGGATAGGAATTTGTGGGCACAAACCCACACCATCCGCGTCCGAAATCAATTTGTGAAAGTATTCAAGCTCCCCTACCTCCTCTCTCGACAAACACACACATCATGAAGATTGTATGAAAGAACAACCAACTGTTTGGTCATTGAGAACCTCACCTCCAGTCTCAAAACAAAATCAATTTTGTGAACATATGATAACAACTTATCCATAACCGAGAAAATTTTCTTCTTGATTAGTAATAATATATTATGAGGTATTGGCGCATTTGCGAATCCCTGAAAAAAACCTTGCTTATCACCTTGTTTTGGTTAACAAAATCTGGATTTCCAAATTTTTATTGAAATATGCACTGCCATGAAGTTAATGGCAAGCTTTGATGGTGGTAGCTAGCGCAATTCATACCAAACAGGCCAACGAAGAAAACTGTCTCTAGTACCGTTGAGATGTAGTCACAAAGATTGTTACTTTGAGGTCGGAAAACTATCAAGTGCATACAATGATATTAATGAATCTGTGGTTGAATACAGGCAAATGTAGTTGATGGTATCACACAACATGGTTTCAATCGTGATATGTGGACTATCCATGTGTTTAAACTGACAGTGAAAAGAAACAGATGGATGGTTCAAACAATTAGAGAAACAGCACTGTCCCAGGCGCACAAATTAAGTGATGCAGAGAAGACTTACTCTTTCCACTTCAGCTCTTTTCGAAAAGTCCGGTCTGTCGTAAATCTCGTACACCAAATGAGTTGAATCCTTCGCCTTGCGTTCTTCATTCTTGTCCGGCTTGAAGCTATCCAACTGTGAAATGATTTTACTGAAATAAAAAATACAGTTTTTCACTGCCTCGGAAACGTGACAAACGGTTGTTAATTCCCATTGTGCACCCGCCCCTGTAATATCTTTAGGTTAAAACACACTAGTTTTATAATAAAACGGTTCCACAGAACCCGCGCACTACTGTCGTGAGGTACCGCTCATATATGTAAGTAGCGCATTTGACGTGCACATGAAGAGGTAGTTGGGGGATTCTCACGGCACCTGGAGTAAAGGATTTCTTATAGTAATTGAAGAAGAGCCAAAGAGACTGGCGATCAACAGCTTTTCATGAAACTACTAGTCAACCGTTGCAGACTACATAGTTTATTCCTATTTACCCCCCCCCTCCCTCCTTCCCCCTATCCATGATCTTCCAATAAACGATTCTCCCCAACCTGGCATTGGTCTTGTGGAGTATTATGTCATTTCGGAAGCCAAACATTCAAGCGGTGGTACACTATTCAATTCTTGATTGCTTTTGGTAACATTTTAACGTCAATGACCTCGTTGTAATTCTAATTACCGCACCTTTGGTTAGTTTTTTCGAACTCCCCATTTGGATTCCTATTTAAAGGAACTTGTATCTGTGATTTTCAATCCCCCTTTTGGTTACCCTTTGAACCGGCAAACTTTTATTCCAAATTGGCTTTCCACGTCCGCCATGTTTTGGTTTCCCGATTACGGAATTTCCGTTGTGAATTTCGGTTCCTTCGAACGGTCTTCTAACTCTGATAGGCTGTGTTAACAAATCGATTCTGGTGAGCACTTATTCATTACCCTTATTAATGTACAGCAGACTCATAAGCAAAGGGGATCGTCCGTTTCACTTCCACCTATTTTTTATCATGTGATCAAACAGGAACAACTATGATTAAGCTTAATTCGGATTTTTCAACAGCATACATGGATGTAAAGGGCATAAGCTCTGTTAGTAAACAATTCATTGATTAAAAAACTACTTCAGTCATCAATGAACTGAAATATGGCAGATTCAAGGAAGCCCCATACAATGAAGATTGGATGATGGTAGAGTATGTGAAAGTAGTAATGTTGAAACTAAAGAAACAACTCAAAACTGAGATAAAGATATCGACCCTTCGGCAGATGAACAAACCGTCATTTGATGAACGAGAACCACATTAAAGGGTATGTTTTGTGTTAAATCTTCCACTATGGGTTAGAAACAGACCATAAAAACCGGTGAAATATAAAAACCGAAGTAGGCGAATGATCACTGCTATAGATACGTGGACGAAATTTTCTGTTTCCGAAGTTAATTTGGACTTCAGTGATGCTCTGCTGAAATTTAATATAGGACACTCAGGGATTCACTTGATAGTTGAGAAAAAGATAACGAATTACCATTCCTGGATTATACTTTACAGAGTCACTTGGACGGCTCCGTTTAGCGGAAAGCGGACAGAACACGCGTCCACAGTTTTGTACCACTTGCCGCCAGACGTAACGTGGTGCACTGCCTTCTACTCATAGCAATATACATCTATATGGGTGGTGCAACAAAAAGGAATTTGGCGGTTGTTGTTGGACATTGCTCGTAATCCGTTGTCAGAACAAGGGCAAGTTGCCTACGTTGACCTTGTCAAAGTTCCTAACACCATTTCAAACGCACTTGTAGTGCCACCTAAGTAGGTTGTACGTCAAGGAAGTTCAGTTCAGTTTTTACAACCACTAACCATGTACTTTCGTGCGCCGGTTTTGGTTGCCGTCTTTTGAGGCTACATTTGGATAAAAGAGCAGAATGAAGATTGGAATGTTGAAAGCAAATTC